GCTGACGATCCCAGACTTCTGAGTTTACACTAAAGCAGCGATACGCAAGAGCAAACAAATAGTAATTTGACAGATATATGACTACAATCATTTCATAGTGCAAGCTATATATAGATTTACATATTTACACTTCCAGGGAGAAAGAAATGGAATGATTTCATTAAAAAAATCAAGAAAAGTATAATTTTTTGATTAGTTTTCTCATGTTCTGTCTTCATGCAAAATGAAATTTAGGTTCAAAGGCAGTAAACAGTAACAAATGTGCAACTTCCATCTGGGGTAGGATATGAATAGTCCCCAAGGAAATGTTTCCAAGAAAGAAACCATAAATGCTTTCACCAAAGCCTGATAATTAGAAATGTTGTTAAAGAAACAGTGTAGGATTAAGGGGGCAAAAAAATCTCTGGTTAAGGTAAAGCAGATTTGATTATATTTTTGTTGCCAATGTTCATTCCAATCCTTAAAATCTTTTATGAAAATGAATTAAAATCATAATTCTTCATAGGAAATTTGAGAACAATCAAGCTCCCTCAATAGATTAGAATGCTGCATAGTTTCTGAGAGTGATGTATAATCTTAACAAGAACACAACATGTCACACACCAGTCTCTTCTCCTAACTCACAGGAGGTTTTTTCTCTTTGAAGTTATACTAAAAAAGATCCTCTATGTCCTTTCTCTGTTTTAGTAGGTTTAGAGAAGGTAAATTGCATTTACTATAATTTCATGTAGGCATGCAAAGACTGGCTCCCATCAGAAAGAGAACACACGCATTACCCCAGGGTGTCTGAAGCGTATCTGGCCATCATGGTTATCCACCAAGTGTCCTTTGAGTTGGACAGGATTAACTAAAGCCCAGAAAGGAAAAGTAACCCTGGGGTAAGTGCCCAGGTCTGGAGAAAACCCAGGTAGGGAACGCTCCGGGGCTTGCTTTCTTCTGGGCTGTGGTGCCCACAGGTAGGCTCACAGTCCCTTCTCTGAAATTCGCGGGGTCAGATGTGTTTCCAAATTCCAAACATCTGGGGCTTCACGAAGGTAATCTATTTCAGATGTGCTGCGACATGCAGGGTAATAGCCCGAGGAGGCTGGGGCAGCGCTCACGGCCCAACACGTCAGCACACGTGGGGTTTCTGTATGTCCACCATGGTAGCTGAGATAAAAAGCATGAGAACAGCCTCACGTCGGTTCAGATCAGCTTTCACCTTCAAATGAACTCTGAAAACCTTTTGGCTTTCTGGCATTTCCTTGAGATTGTGGGTGAAATACTGTGCGTGCACGCGTGTGTGTGTGCTAAGTTGTTTCGGTCGTGTCTGACTCTCTGTGACCCCATAGACTGGAGCCCGCCAGGCTCTCCTCTGTCCATGGGATTCTCCAGGCAAGAATACTGGAGTGGGGTGCCATTTCCTTCTTCAGGGGATCTTTCCGACCGAGGGATTGAACCCAAGTCTCCCGCATGGCAGGCAGGTTCTTTACTCTGAGTGCCGACTGGGAAGCCCAAAAGACGGTGAACCTGTAATTCAAGTAGGAGCCTGTGTCCTCTTCTCTGCACGGGGGGAAATCCCCTCTGAGCTCCGGGTGGAAAGTCCTCTCCAGCGGCTCCTGCGTTCTGTCCCTCTTGAGCTTCACAGGAGAGCTTTAGCAAGAGACACAGTCCCCTCTGTGACCAGGGCTGGACCGCCATGGGTCTTGTAAGACAGGCACTTTACCTTTAGTCAATGCCCAGATCCGTGTTAGTTACCCCCCAAGAGGAGGATGTTGTATTTGCTGGATCTGGTGCATGTGAGTGTATGTTATTTATAATTTATTTATAAATATATTGTTTGTAAGTAATCTTGGGAATCTTTCACTCTATCGCTCACTTTTACCTAAATTAAGTGTATCATTTGTCTACACAGTGCAAGATAGTCTGATGATTAAAAAAAAAAAAAAAAAACCTTAGTTTCGGGAATTCCCCGGTGTTCCAGTGGTTAAGACTCTTGCCTTTCTTGCAAGCCATGTGGTGCAGCTGGAAAAAAAAAAATCTTGATTTCTTAGTGAACTTAGCTTGCTGAAGATCCTGTCTGTTTTCCTTCTGTCTGCTGCGTTTGTCTCCCCTCCAAGCCCTCTGCCCCCAACCCGAGTTAAATGAGATTAAAAGTAGAGCAGATTCTGAAATACCTTATTTGGGGTATTGAGATAACTAGCAGTTTGTTTTCAAGCTTAACAGACGTAGTCAGTATGAATTAAGGTCATCTTTTTGTCATGAACCAGTTTTTAAGTTTGAACTGACCAGTTAACTGGCCAGTTTAGGAAGGGAAAATGCCATTTTCCTGGTCTTCAGATCTACTCAGTGAAGGGAACTAATAAAGGTAACATAATGTGAGCTACACTTGCCACTTAAAAGGTTCTAGTAGCTGCATTAAAAATGTAAAAAAAAAGAAAGTGAAATGAGCTTTAATAATATATTTTATTTAAGCTAATCCCTGGTGGCCCAGTGGTAAAGAATCCACCTGCAAGGCAGGAGACCCAGGTTGATCCCTGGGTGGGGAAGATCCCCTGGAGGAGGGCATGGCAACCCACTCCAGTGTTCTTGCCTGAGGATTCCATGGACGGAGGAGCCTGGTGGGCTACCATCCATAGGGTCACAAAAGAGTTGGACATGACTAAGTAAGTAAACAATCCAGAACATTAATTGTCTGGAATGTAACTAATATAAAAATTAACAATGAAATTTTTTACATTCTTTTTTTCACACAAAATATTTGAAGTCTTGTATTTTTTACCTAAAGACCACCTCGATTGTCCCAGCTGCATTTCAAGTGTTCAGTAGCAGCATATGACCTTTTGCTACTGGGCTGGGGGTGTGAAAGTTTAAAAGACAGGGCTGGCACCCAACCTCTCAGCAGTTTGTGATCTCCTGGGGAAAGAATGGCTCCTACTTTGACTCCCTTTCACATTTATCCTACTATGTATCACAGACAAAAATAAAGACTGACAACCAGTGAAAATAATTCCTAGTACTTCCAGTAAACTAGTGAAACACACAGGCTGCAGACTGTAAATCACGTGTCACTGCTTGACTAAGCAGAAGTCACTGTTTGAATCCCAAACTGGAGGAAATGGTGCAGTGGAAAAGTCTGCCCATTGATTTTGTTTTGCAAAGAAATTTGCAGAACCAGGTATCTCTATTGACTTTAGCCTTGAACTTCTGCTGATAGCAACAGTAAACCACCATGAGGAGAGCAAACATGAGCAGGGTAAATAAGTGTTGCAATGGTTCCAAAGTAACATTCAAGCAGTGTTTAGGTACTTGGGCTTCTTCCCCTCTGGAGCCAGGGGAATTTCAGTTTTGCAAACTTGTTTTAGAATAACCAGTTGCATCTAGACTTTCACCACTATAAAATGATAATGGTATCCAGTGTTTGTTACAGGCATTGTTCTTGGTGTATGATATGCACTGATTTGTTTAACACTCACAATAATTGTATAAGGCAGACACTGTATTTTATTCCCACTTGAAAGATAAAAAAACTGAGACGAAAAATGTAAAGTAACTTCTGTAAGATCACACAGCTGAGGAGAAATGAGTTAGAATTCAAACTCATGTTATTAATCATTATTCTCTAACCTACTGGATTTATGAGGTGAAAATAAGATAAAATAGCAGTATCTTAAATAGAAATGATATCATTTCTATTTAAGATACGGCTATTTAAGATACTGCTATATTCAGAAATAACTATTAATGAAAATGACCTTTGTTAGAGGGAATCCTATTTTGTTTTACATTTAAATTATATGTAGTTTGTCTCATGTTGTACCAATACAGCTAAAGTTTAAGCTCATTCATTCATTTCTTCTGTTCAAATATCAGCTTTCAGTGAGACTTTCCCTGATCACTTCAGGTAAAATAGTAACAAACTCCCAGTCATTGGTAATCTCAGCCTTCCTTAATTATAAGTTTATACATATAGATTCCCTATTATAAACATATACATTATATATTTGTACATAAACTTTTTATTATACATTTACTTATATGTTTGCACTGTCTCTCTCTACCCTTATGATATAGGCTGCACACAGCAAGACTTTTTTCTGTTTTGTTCACTGCTATATTGCCAGTACCTCAGAACAAAGTTTGCGTGTGTGTGCTAAGTTGCTTCCATCGTGTCTGACCCTTTGTGACCATGTGGACTGTAGCCAGCTAGGCTCCTCTGTCCATGGGATTCTCCAGGCATGCATACTGGAGTGGGTTGCCATTTCCTTCTCCACAGAACAATGTTTGTATCTTAGTAAATTTTAAATAAATATTTATGAATTGAACAAATGACTGATTTTTATACATATTCATTTGTTTATGCTGAAACAACACATATAGCAATTATGTGCATAGACTTATGTGCAAAATATACTTGGGCTAGGGTTATAGCTGCCATTTACTATTTGTAAAATATACAAATAATAATAAACATATTGACCTTGTAAAGTTATTCGGAAGATTACTTAGGATACCATTTTCTAAAAGTGACATAGAGGCTGGCACAATCAATGTGGCTGTACTGTTGTTTTGTAGCATTTTATTACTTATCTACGCCTTTTATTTTATTTAAAAATTTTTTTCGGCTACTCTTTGTTGCGATGCGTGGGTTTCTCTTGTTGCCGAGCACAGGCTCTAGGCACACTGGCTTCAATAGTTACGGCTCCGTGGCATGGGGGTCTTCCCAACCTGGCATCGAGCCCGTATCCCCTGCATTTAGCAGGCAGACTGTTCGCCACTGGACCACCAAGGAAGTCCTATCCACTCCTTAAACACAGGGCCACACTCTATGCTGGATGCCGAGGAAGTCTGGGCTAAAGAAGACATCTCTTTCGAGACAGAGCGTAGCTGTGCCTTCACTGCTGGACTTGTGAGAAGTGAAGGACCTCTCCAGGACTCCACAGCCCACGGGCCAGAGCCCCACTGCGGCTCCTACACGCAGAGTGAGCTGAAAGTAGTCGGGAGCTGGGAGCAGCCAGCGAATGAGAAGCGTGGGGTTCCCCCGGAGCAAAGGCGAAGAGCTGTCCTGCCGACGGGAGCTCCAGGGGATGACCGACATCAGCTGGGGTCTTCGGAGGGCCCTCACGGAGACAGGGCCAGCTTCAGAGGTAGCAAAGGCAGGCGCAAGTTGTCTCGAAAGAAATTTGCTCTCAGGCAAACACGAGTTCAAAAAGCTCACCAAAAACATAAACAAACATCATAGATGGAGATAAACAGATTTAGACCCCAAAGGAATGCATATTTTTGAATTATCAGATAAAGAATACATAATTCTTAAATATGACATATCTATGGAAATAAAGGATAGGATCATAAATTTGATCAAGAAGTAAAATGATGGATAAATTTACAAAGCCATCAAGTGGAACTTTTTTTTCTCTTTTTAGTTATTTACAGTGTTGTGTTAACTTTAGGTGTACAGAAAAGAGGCTTAGTTATATATATATATATATATATATATATATATATATAAGTGGGATTCCCAGGTGTTGCTAGTGGTAAAGAATCTGCCTGCCAATTCCGGAGATGTAAGAGACGTGGGTTCAATCCCTGGTCTGGAAGATCCCCTGGACGAGGGCATGACAACCACCCCAGTATTCTTGCCTGGAGAATCCCCATGGACAGAGGAGCCTGGAGGGTTACGGTCCATAGGCTTGTAAAGAGGCAGAAACAACTGAAGCTACTTAGCATGCATGCACACCTATATATAAATAAATAAATATATATATATACACACACTTTGTATACTTTTTCAGATTCTTTTTCATTATAAGTTATTACAAGGTATTAAATATAATTTCCTGTGCTATACAATAGGTCCTTGTTTATCTGTTTTATATATAGTAGTATGTATCTGCTACTCATAATTTCCTAATTTATCCCTCCTTCTACCTTTCCCCTTTAGTAACCATAAATTTTCTATGTCTCTGAGTTTGTTTCTGTTTTGTAAATGAATTCATTTGTATCAGTTATTTCTTAGATTCCACATATAAGTGATATTCTGTGATATTTGTTTTATCTGACTTCACTTAGTATGATAATGTCTAGGTCCATTCATGTTGCTGCAGATAGCATTATTTCATTCTTTTTATGGATGATAATATTGTATGGCATATACACACACACACACACACATATATATATATATATATGTCATCTTTTTATCCATTCATCTATTGATGGACACTTAGGTTGCCTCCATGTCTTGGCTATTGTTAATAGTCCTGCTATGAACATTGGGGTGCATGTATCTTTCTGAATGAGAGTTTTTGCCTTTTCCAAGTAATATGCCCAGGAGTGGGATGGCTGGATCATATAGTAGCTCTTTTTTCAGTTTAAGCCTCCATATTTTTCTCCATAGTTGTTCAGCCACTCAATCATGTCCAACTCTTTGCAGTCCCATGAATCGCAGCATACCAGGCTTCCCTGTCCATCACCAACTCCCAGAGTTTATTCAAACTCAAGTTCATTGAGTTGATGATGCCATCCAACCATCTCATCCTCTGTCGTCCCCTTCTCCTCCTGCCTTCAATCTTTCCCAGCATCAGGGTCTTTTCTAATGAGTCATCTGTTCACATCAGGTGGCCAAAGTATCAAAGCTTCAGCTTCAGCATCAGTCCTGCCATCGGATATTCAGGACTGATTTCCTTTAGGATGGACTGGTTGGATCTCCTTGCAGTCTGAGAGATTCTTAAGAGTCTTCTCCAACACCACAGTTCAAAAGCATCAGTTCCTTGGTGCTCAGCCTTCTTTATGGTCCAACTCTCACATTAATGCAAGACTACTGGAAAAACCATAGCTTTGACTACATGGACTTCTGTCAGCAAAATAATGTCTCTGCTTTTTAATATGATGTCTAGGTTTGTCATTGCTTTTCTTTCAAGGAGCAAGTGTCTTTTAATTTCCTGGCTGCAGTCACCATCTGCAGTGATTTTGGAGCCCAAAAAAATAAAGTCTGTTACCGTTTCCATTGTTTCCCCATCTATTTGCTATGAAGTGATGGGACCAGATGCCATGATATTCATTTTTTGAATGTTAAGATTTAGGCTAGCTTTTTCACTCTCCTTTTTCATCTTCATCAAGAAACTCTTCAGTTCCTCTTCACTTGCTGCCATAAGGGTGGTATCATCTGCATATCTGAGGTTATTGATATTTTCCTGGCAGTCTTGATTCCAGCTTGTGATTTATCCAGTCCAGCATTTTGCATCTCTGCGTATAAGTTAAATAAGCAGGGTGACTATGTACAGCCTTGACGTAATCCTTTCCTGATTTGGAACCAGTCCATTGTTTCATGTCCAATTCTAACTGTTGCTTCTTGACCTGCATACAGTTTTCTCAGAAGACAGGAAAGGTGGTCTGGTAATCCTATCTTTTTAGGAATTTTCCATAGTTTGTTGTGATCCACACAGTGAAAGGCTTTAGCATAGCCAATGAAGCAGAAGCAGATGTTTTTCTGGATGTTCTCTGTGGTGGCTGCACCAATTTACATCCCACCTACAGTGTAGGAGGGTTCCCTTTCCACCACATCCTCTCTAACATGTTTGGAGCCTTTTGAGGATGGCCGTTCTGACCAGTGTGAGGTGGTATCTCAATGTGGCATTGGTTTGTAATAGAACTTTTTAAAAGTGAAAACTATAATTGTTGAAATTGAAAACTCAATAGATAGATTACAGAGTGTGTGAACAGCAGTTGAAAGGAGCATATATGATTGAAAACAAGAAAACCGTGGGAAAGAGACAGAGGCTGTGGAGGGCAGAAAGAGTACAGGCGGAGTCCCGGGAGAGAGAACAGAAAGAGCTGATGACTGGGAAGAAAGGGGGTTCTGATAAGAGAAAACTTACCGAACAGGACAAATAAAATCAAAATTGTTTGGGCACGCCATAGCAAACTATAAAATATCTAAACAAAGAGGAGGCCTGATAAGCAGCTAAAGAGAAGAGGCAGGCTCTCAGAGAAGAAGGACAGCTAAGCGTAGAGAAGAGGCTTCAACACGCAAAAGGGAAGCTGGAGGTGGGGTGATATCACCACTCGCTGAAAAAAAAAAAACATAGAAGAACTGTTTTAAGACTAAGAGTGAAATAACAGCCCTTGAAATAAAGGTCCAGTGTTCCCAGGAGCAGATCTTTACAAAAGAAACTTCTAAAGAATCTACTCCAAGATCAAGGAAAGTGATCCCGGAAGGAGAATCGGAGACACAGGAAAGAATGGCAGGAAAATAAATTAGAAAACATGCAATTTTTAATAAAAATTGTGGAATAAAGCACTCCAAAATTCTTATATTTGCAGGGTGAGAGTAAGATATTGACTACAGTGAGTCTGTTTACTCAAGAAAGATCATTGACAAAAACAGTAATAGAATATTTAGCTTCCAAACCAGAAGAAGGAAAAAAGAGGATAACAAAGACAAATAAATAAAAGTTTTGTTAGTCTTTTTTAAAAGGCAAGGAATGGGGAAAGAGAGGCATAGAAAAAGTAAGACCAAAATAACAACATAAGATGGTATTAACAGGTCTAAAAGTATCAATAATCACAATGAATATAAATGCTATCATCCTACAATTTAAAACCAAAGTAAACCAAAGACAGGGGAAGAGGAAAAAATTCCAAGTATATGTTATGTATGAGACATGCCTAGCCTAAAATGCAAGAACACTGAAAAGATGATGTATAAGAATAGACAAGGATATAACAGATAAACTCTAATTTAAAGCAATACAATATTCAATAATTTTTTGAACAAACAAAAAAACACTACCCAAAATCTTAACCCCAATTATTTTCAGTTTTATGACTCTATCTTTCATCCCAAGCTCTTATATTTTTATATTACTGTATTTATGATATGCATTTAATTTTAATTGTTTTTTTCTTTTTAAAATTACAACACCATAATTTCCCAAGGTTTTATGTAGTTTGTATAATATAATTTCATAACTATTTCGACCTTTTTTATAATTCAATTACATTTCCTGCACAGCCTTTCTAGTAGTTAACTTTATAAATAAGAAACCAACTCGGGGAAGTAAAAATTCATTTTATTTGTTGCTTAATCATTAAACTTCAGAATTGAGACTTCCCTGGTGGAGCAGTGGTTAAGAATCCGTCTTCTGATGCAGTGGATGTGGGTTTGATCCCTGGTAGGGGAGCTAAGATCTCGCATGCCCCAAAGCAACTAAGCCTGTGCACTCGGTGGTGGGAGGGGGGGGGCCAACGAGTGAAAGATCTCACATGATCCAGTGAAGACATGAGGTATCCAAATAAATAAAGATTAAAAAACAACAACAACTTCAGAATCCATGTGTCTGGTGAACATGTCTAGATTTGGGGAACCCGTGTTCCTCTTGTCCAGGTGCTCAGATCTTGTGGTCCCTCATGTAGGCTGAAGCCTTGCCTTCTTTTTCACATCCTCGGTGAGCACCGTCATCTTATCTGACTCTTCCTGTTCTTTTTGAAGCAGGAAAAAGGTGCTCAGCTGGTTGGAAGTTAGAGAGGGGATACCAGGCCTTTTGGATTCACAGGAAAAGACTCTGATGCTGGGAAAGATTGAGGGCAGGAGGAGAAAGGGGCGACAGAGGATGAGATGGTTGGATGGCATCACCGACTCGATGGACATGAGTTTGAGCAAGCTCCAGGAGATGGTGAAAGACAGGGAGGCCTGGCGTGCTGCGGTTCATGGGGTCACAAAGAGGTGGACACGACTGAGCGACTGAACAGCACCCGGCCTTTGGACAAAGTCTCAAATCGGAGCAGAGACTGAAGCAGAGGCGCTCAAAATGCCAGCACAAGAGACAACAGCGAGCGTCCTCTGTGCGGGCCTGCTGGTGCGCTAAGCGCCGTTTAGTCACTTTAGTGAGCACTGCCCAGTGTGAGTCCACAAGCGCCTTGAACGCTTGCGTGAGTCCTTTCTCCTCCTCTCTTCTTTGTGTCCCAAGAAATCAGAGCCAGCTGACTAGGCATTCAGGCCTCTTGCCTGTTTGCAGACGCCGTCGAGCTGGCATCAATGCTCCCATTCATCTGCCTCTCCTCTGGGTCAAGAGGGCAGGATGACAGTATGGATTATGAAACGAAGGGGTGTTAACTTGGGGGCAGGAGGCCAAGAAATATCCAAATAAATAAACATAGTCGATGCTAATGAGTAGAGGACTGGCTTGTAACTAAGGTCCTCCCAGGCTTTGAGGAACTTAATGAAATGAGGTTATGTTTCAATGACTGGCATTGCAGCAAAGCCAAATAATGATAATACAGTCACTGCAACACATGCAAGTCACTTGTGTGCATAATTAGGGATTTACAAGAGCTAGTGGACCAGCTGAACTCCCCCCTTATCTCTGACTGCAAACCTTTGTTTTCTTCCTGGGAGTTGGAAAAAAGTCAGTGCGTCAGCAACTCATCCGTTCCTGCCTGTCGGTTCATCATGCAGAAATTAAATGCAGTGCATAATGTGAATTTAGATGTCAACATTGTGTTGAATTCTAGAAAGATGCATTAAGATGTTTAGTTTGCATTACATTTTGACAAATTTGTGTCATTCTGAGTTTGTTAATTTTGGATTATGGGACACTGAAGATTTGCATAAATCTAAATTCTACTAGGGACCCTGGCTAATACCTCCTTCATATTATTTTTCCATAGAACAAGCTTGATCTCTTCAGTCTTTAAAACCTTCATTATATACTCTGGAAAGCAATATTCTCTTCAATCTCAAGTATGCAGCCATTAAATCAATCTTGTGAACTGGTCTTGATAGTTTTGTCTGGCAGGGTAATCATTTGACAACAATGTTATCATGAGATAATGAAAACCAAACCGGATCAAAGCAGAACATCAAGAAGAAAAAACTAGGTTCAGGCTGCCAATCATACTGCTGAGCTCTGCTAGAGTCCCTTGGGCCCTCCTGATAAAGGAATACATCTGAGAACAGAGGCTGGCCAGGCCAGAGCTTTGGAGCTCAGCCACGGACAGGCTCGCCTGAGTGGGCTGTCCTGGGCCCTGCGCAGCTGACAATGGCAAGCATCCTGAGGACTATTTAAAGCAAGCGCGTTTGAACGTTGTGCAACGCGATGTGCGATGCTGGCTTATGAAAGCAGCCCACAGCGTGTGCTGCACCTGGGCTCAGGAATGTAAAGCTTACCTTGCCAAGGGCCCCCCACCCTCTTCCCGTGCCCACCCGTCTAACCTAAGCCACAGCCCCAGCCTGCAACCCTTCCCCCGATTTCTGGCTTCAGCCTCATCCCAGCTCACCTGCCCTCCGCCATCAGCCTTGCTACAGGAATGCTACTGTCGTGTCCTGTCCCAGCAGAGCTGCTGACTGCTGCAGTGGAAGCTGCATGGCTTAAATTGTTCTGGCTGCCTGCTGACTAGGTTGAAGCACCCGCTTGGCTTAAATTGTTCTCCCGTTCTCCCTCCCTCCTTTCCTTCCCTCCTCTCTTCTCTCCTCCTTCCCGCTCTTCTTTCCTTCTGCTTTATTGACTGACGATCTACACAGAAGAGTGGACACATCAGAAGAGTTTTATAGCTCAGGGTACTCCCGCAAGCTGGAGGTGCCCAGCTAACACCCAGGCCAGGCAGGAGAGCCTGCCTGTGGCCCTCAGAAGTCCTTCTGGCTCCTCCCAGGTGCTCCCCACACAGCCCAAAGGGAAACACTGTCCCACCTCCCAAGAGCCGCTGTGAATTCGGTCAGGCTTCCCTTCACTCACCTTCCCACACGCGAGGACTTGGGGTACACTCTGACTTGGGGTCCCCGGGCCTTGCTGCCTATGGCAGCAAGTCTAATTGAGTCCCTGCTCTGATGGATGTGGATGTCCTGTCACCTGCCTTCATCAGGAGGCGCTCCGGGACTGCCAGCTGGAGGTGTCGGGGTGACAGATGATGAGAGCTGGGCAGGGAGGGGCTGGTGACGGCTCCAGTTTGATGAGGAGGACGTGGAGCTAACGTCATGTGTAACGCGGTCCCCTCCCGCCTCCAGCCCTGCTCCTCACTTGTCTCTCGGCCTCCCACACCACTGCACACCCACCAACAAAGTCACAAAAGCCACCTGCCACAGTGGCAGGGAACCCCTAGAGTCCCCAGCTGACACCCAGGGCTTTGCATCCCCGGGGGAATGCCTCCAGTGTTGGGGGGGCCCTCCGATGCTGCTCCTACCTTAAGAACTATCTCCCTGTCTTCTGGGAATAGAGACAAGAAAAGATTGTTTAGCTGTGATTCTTTTTTTTATTTCTTCTTTTTTATAAATTGGAGGATAACTGCTTTGAGGAGGGCATGGCACCCCACTCCAGTATTCTTGCCTGGAGAATCCCATGGACAGAGGAGCCTGGTGGGCTACACAATCCACGGGGTCACACAGAGTTGGACACGACTGAGCGACTTAGCTTGCATGCACGCATAACTGCTTTACGATGTTGTGATGGTCTCTGCTGCACATCAGCGCAAATCAGTCATAATTTATATCCCCTCCCTCTTGAGGCCCCCCCACCACCGTTCTACCACAGTTTACACTAGCCAGGGCACGGCAGCAACCTAGACGTCCATTGACAGAGGAACAGATACTTGTGACTCTTTTTAACAGCAGTTCAACAAATGCTATTAGTTGTCGTCTCACTGTACAGTTGAGATTTTCTTAGGCATCTATCGAAAAGGCAACATAAAAATAATAAATACTGAAAAAAAGTCAGGGGCGGGGGGCGGGCAGTGGTTGGTTACCCATAATCCCAACCTACCTCTGCAAACACGTTCATCTACAGACCACCTCCAGGTCCTGTCCACACTCGTGCCCACCACGTCTTACCCTGTGGTTACTGTAGGGTTCACACGAGGAAACGGTCTTTCAGAGGCCTTTAGTTTATGCAACCAAAATGGAT